CTCGCCTGAACAGAGGGTATCTAACCCCAGGTGGGGAGGGGGGGGGGAAAAAAAAAAAAAAAAAAAAAAAAAAAAAAAAATCGCTCAGGGAGACCACATGCAGGGACAGGACTGAGTCCTCGGACATCCAGCTCAGAGCCACAACAAGAGAATTACCAAAGCCCAAATGGCCAGAGTTCATAGGATACAGTTTTCCAAGGTTCTGGCTTCTCTAGAAAGAAATCGTCACATGAAGCTAAAGATTTGCATGGAATACCATTTAAAAATATAGTGACTTCATATTTTAGAAAACTCTTTTATTAAACATATGTAGTATTAGCTGTATTATCAGAGATGTGGATGCTATTCAAGTACAGTAAAATTTACCATTCAGCTAAATAAACAAAAATAAATATCTTATAGTTAGCTAAATGCAATCAGGGTCTACATCATATATGCACTACCTACAGCAACCATCTCCTGCGAATCACAAAGTAACTTAGGTTGAGATGGACCCTAGAGGTCATCTAATTCTATTCCCTGCTTAAAGAAAGATCAATTCAAATTGTAGTTTGATCACTACAGAACAAAGAGATCTTTTAGACAAAAGAAAGTAAGGAGCTCAGCGTGGGGATTTCCAACTTTGGTTAATGTATCCAAAGATTGTGACTTTTTCTTCTATGCAGGAGAGAGAACCACAAAGCAAAAGTTTATATGAAAAACAGAACATCTTGGGGAAGAGGTGGTATTTGGATGGAGTAGACATTAGGGAAAAATATATGTTGAGGATGCTGCAAGAACCAGGATCACTGAAATGATTGCGTGGTTTCTGTCAAAAAGCAGATACAATAACTGTTGGACTTGGGAAAAGGCACAGAATGTAAGTAGCAAATCTCTCTGATTAGGTTGCTAATATGGGCATGACAAAACTACTCCACGGAAGAGCAATATGTTACAGCTCCTCACTAGAAAGCATTTTTTAATTTGAAACTATTTACAAGGATAGTGGAAACGAAAAATATGTGCTCGTATGCCTTGAGGACCTTCTCAGACTAATTTAACTTATTCACAGACAGGAGATAAAAAGTGCCCTTGCATAAGGGCATATATGAAGCAGACCAAAGAACTAAGAAATTCCCCGTTAGAACAGCTTCTCTCATCACAAGATTTTCTGCACCTTTTTTTCCAGAATAAGGAGTGTTATAAAAAACAGGGTGTTGGGAGTACAAGAACATTTAGACTTCTGCTGTGACCTCTTACATAGAAAAGATGCTATGAAACTAGCATCTTGTGTGCGCGCACGGTGTGGGTCTGCGTTTGTGCGGTTTCAACAAATCCGCTCACGTGACCCAAACAAGGAAACCCAGTGTCTATTTGGAGATCCAGGAAACAAGTTAATCAAGATAGCAGGCTCTTAAATTAAAATTTAACCCTCTCTAGAGTATAAAGTCTTTTCAAGGTGAAATGCAACTCACCAATTACGCAACAAGAAGTGGCAGAAGACACCTGTTTGTCTCAGTGTACAATATAAACTGTATCATCACCTCCACATTTGTGGCAAATCTCTCCCCTCTTACGATGCAAGGCTTTGAGCTAAATGTTACAAAGATGGCTCGAAAGTAAATGTCACGCTACTTGCATATGCAGGAGGTTTTCAGTACTGGTCATAACCAAAAATTATGGTCCCTTAATGAAATTGAAAAAAAGTAATAGAAAATTAAATGACCTGATACGGAACCTCACAAGGATCTACCTAAGAATAAGTTTGCTTAATTGTGCTATTTTCAAGGACGACCCTACCTCCACTCTGGATTTTAAGTCAACTAATACGGTCATAGAGAAAGGAGAATTACTCCCATTTTCTGTTTTGCTGACATTTTCGTCTTTACGCTGAATCCCAGTCTTTTATCACTGCTAAAAGACACTTATTAACATAAACACTACTAAAAAATAAAAATTAAAAAAAAAAAATGCAGAACTAGAAGCACCATAGAGGTTAGGTTAACAGCCATTCACATTTCTCAGCTTGCATCAGGAATCTTTTGCTTCACGAGTATTTAAGTTTTGGTACTCGCACTTCCTGCATACACTTGTAACTTCCATGCGTTTTTGCATATTTTCCGATCAGGGATGTTTTTTGCACTTTATCAATATTTTGTATTAAAAGGCAACAGCTGTGCAGGCATATTCTTCTTCTACTGGTCAGAAGGCCAGTTATCAGTCATTTCAGCTTTTAGAGATACTGGTTTTAACAACTAGTGGTCATATGCAGTGTTAAAACAGAAAATAAAAGCTTCTAATTTCCTGACAGAACTAACTGTAAACAAAGCAATTAACCTCTTAAAAGATCAACACTTTCCATTTCAACTCTAATTTGAGATTTGGGTCCCAATATCTGGAACTCAGAATCTGAATGGCATCAAACTGATGAGATAATTAAACGTTCTTTGAAAAAAGAAAAATCTGTATGAAATGTTTTAAGCAAAAACATTTGCATACATAACTGTCGAACAGACAGCATTTCAGAATAAACTTTTTGGGGCATCTCTGTTGATTTGTCACTGAATCAAAGTAACTGCAAAAGCCTATTTCTTTGATGCAATATTTGCACTATTGATCTTCAAAGAAGCTGTAATTTGGAAGTAGCGTTAATACAGCCAGGAGTTAAAGGACCGAGAATAAGACCTGGAAAGAAATTAATCTCTCTGTTGTTCCTTCAAGCTCCTCATCCACTGTAGAAATGCATCTGACAGATCATTACATCTGAGAGTCATCAGCACAAAGATGGGTAGCTTATCTTGCATTTGCAGGTCAGATCACCCACAAATAAAGAGGGATCCTGGACTGAGTCTGTGGAACTTCCACTGAATACTGGAAAGGTAAAAAGGCCAAAGCACATTCAAAAGAAGGACTAAAAGGGAGAAGAGGAAAACCTGAACAGGGCAGAGATTGCAGCCAAAGAGAGAACAAGACTTCAAGCAAAGTAACTTCTACTGAATGCAGCAAATTAGGAAGGAGGATGGATTACTCCAAGACTGGGCCACAATTAACTCGGGAGATTTTGGTAATACTAGTTTTCATTAAATTTGAGGGATGGAAGAAAAATTAGAAAACATTCTAGGCTAATCCTAGACACTGACAGCAGACAACACATTTTGTTATCCAAAAAGAGTTGAAATTTGCATTGGAAGGATTAATACAACTGTTTGGAGATACTGATTTCAATACCACAAACACTCCTGACTGCCTGATCTCTCCATCAACAGTCCTGCTATCAAGCCTTTTATATTACAGACCACCAAATCTTTCTCACAACTAAGATCTTCCTAGATGCCTAACATATGACACAACTACAAGTCAATCGATAACTTTTTGTATTGACATGCACCTAATTGTACCTAATTTTAGCACTCCTTATGAGCTAGGATCAGTCTAGCATGAATCAAGCAGAAAAAAAAAAACTTACTTTCATGTTCTTCGTGCACAACTATGTTCACACGATCAACGCATGACTGGATATCATTCCACGTGATAAATTCATTTCCTTCTGCACGTGTTTGAGCTTTCAGCTTCATCAAATCATCAATGTATCTGCCAAAGAACAAAATCCAAAACTAACAAACATCACATCACAACAAGCTGGCCAGGGAACACACAAGACAGCGTGAGAATTGTACACAAAGTGGAAGAGGTAACGTGAGGGTTGAAACTGGAAGAAGTATGAAAAGGGGAAAGAATAGAAAGAGGAAAGGCTGAGTGCAGTACGGTCAGCCCAAATGTGAAATAATCAACAAAAGCACTAAAACACTGAATGAGGGTCCAGGGCAAAGAACAGGGTGGGTGAGCTGGTGTAGTATTAGTGACAATCTAATGGTACCACAACATGGCTTTAACGTGAAATCTGTGAGAAACCATTGAGAGACAGCACAGAAATCAGAGCAGTAAGAAACAGTAATCGCAAAACCAAGATGCAAGTGACGTGACAGATTAAATCAATACTGTAATAAATAATGTAGAAAGAATGTAAGGGGGGGGGGAATTCAAGAAGTCACAGAATATAAGCAACATCAAGGACAGACATGATTCCTTGAAATATCCACCTCTGAGAGTTCTCATCCTCAATGTTTGTAAGCCCTGTGACAGGACTGCTCAGTTGTTTCCACACTGTATTCACATCCCCTGAATCCAAAGCCCTATTAATCAGGGCCACAGAAGACAGCATCTCTACAGCAACAGATAATTCTGGATGGGTGAGGTTACCCTGCATACAAAGAGGACAACAAATTAATTCCGCTCACTCTTTACAAACTATTGCTGCACACAGAACACAGAATAGAGTAGTTGTCAGAACAGACATATAACAAAGCAAAGGGACAACCTTTATGACGTAGAAATAGAAAGATGAGTATCATAAAGCTAGAACAGCAAGTAAGAGATTAAAGTAGAATCTTACAGGGCCAAGTAGCTCAAGATTTAGGGATTAAACTTCACATCAGAACAGACTGAACACCAAAGCAGTTCTATGAAGACTCAAGACAGGTTTGTTCCAGAGAACGCATTTAACAAAACAGACAAGGTAGACCCGGTGATCCATGCCAACTTCCAGAAATAAGAGAGAACGTGGTACTTACTTCAGGGCTCTGTTGCTGCAAGGTGGCCAGCTCCCTTTGGTAAAGATCTGCAGCAAATGCATAAACCTCTGGTAACTGGGCCTCTGGATTCATAATTTCTGCCACAGTCTTCTCAGCATCACCCATTCGAATTGCAGAATTAATTCTGGCCACTGCTGCCAGCCCTAGAAGGTCAAAGAGATAGCACAAAGAATGAGGAAGGCAGACAGCTGAGTCCCCAGTAATAAAAGCACTTTTATTCTACTCAATAATCAGACACCTAACAAGAAAAAGAGTAATTGCCTTAGCTGCAGGAAATGAGTGAAGCTTTCTGATCCATACTTCCCCAGTTAGTCTTCCATTACTGCAGACAACTAAAATACATAATGCCTTCTTTAAAATAAAGCTCATGTTTAAAACCAGTTCACCTTTTTGCCTGGTTACCAAAGGATTGCTTCACCATTTCAGTCTTCTGATAGTAAGAAGCCTCATAATTGCAAACTTTTGGATGGATGAGTAGTAGCAACTTTTTCTTCCTGTCTACGTCTATTCTGCATCTATCCTGCTCAAGGCAGTAACAGGCACTCTATAGTGGGTACACGTTGGCTAACTTTAAAATAGCACAAGTAGGTGAACAAATGCCGAGCTCCATGCTGAACAAGTAAGGTACTTCGAAGGCAGCCTCCTAGTTATTAGGCATTCACTGTTTCCCTCTTGTATTCTAAACCCTCTCTCCCCAGATCTCTAGTAGTCTCCTTTCTACCTATTACAAATTGAACTAATTGCTCCTGCACAGCCAGGACTGAACATTCTTCTCCAGAGAAGAGCTCTGCATGATGTCAGAAGCATCAATCAAAAAACAATCAGCCACCGTGATCTGCATTTTATTTGCTACCTGATATTCAGAAACAGTTAAAGGTTCTGTAGCTCAAACCAAGTAAGATTTATGTCAATGGTCAGCAGGTAACCTAGCTTTCACACCTCATGGAGCAATCCAGATTTCCTTCACAGATTCATAGCACAAAAACTCATACAAGCATTCTAGAAAAAGAGGTTATTTAAGGTTGATGCAAAAGTTCCATGTTTCTTAATATTTTAAATTATATGCTGGTATCTCCAGCAGTATTATAAGAGCTGGATAAAAGACACTACAAATAATCAGGGCAACCATCTCTCTTTAATGTTCTTAGCAGCCATGAAGTACTTAAAGAACATTCATAACTGTTTGAGAGAGACCTCATGTATCCCCACGTAGACCCAAATATTGTGCTGTCTCGTCCTTTTGGTCACATCCATGGTCACTCTGCTGCAATAATTTCTACTGATCCTTACTTTGCTGATACTGTTGTGCTGCCCTGTTAGCAGCATCCACTCCCAACTGCAACTCTTCCTTCTGCAGAGGACCTGTAAGGCCAGCCTGAAGAAAAAAAAAGAAACCAGGAAGGTGAAACGATGTCAGCTTATTCACTTCAAATAGCTCAATAAAAAGAAAAAAAAACCCCAGCTTTTCCTTAAAACACTCTAATGCCACATAGCTGCTGCAAACAAAGAATGCCACACATGTGAGGAAGACAGAAATTACTCATCAGATTCTCAGTTCATATGCTGAAAGACTGTATGTTTACAACCTGATCCCTTTTAGAGTATTAGAAGTGCAGACCCATGAACGCAGCAATTAAAGCGAAGACCCAGCTTCCAAAATTATAAAACATTTAAGACAAAGGGGACAATTTTGTGGGAAAAGACTCCCTGTACATGAGCTGCATGCTGGAGTGAAATTAGTACTTGTGTAGTTTGCCATGAAATGACACATTAATTAATGTTCCATTTTACCTCTGAGCAACAAAAGAGCTAGCAGAACATCAAAAATGGACAACATGCAGTTTTGGCTTACACATACATGCTTCCTGGACTATACGGTACAAGTGAATACAAATAGAAAGCAAGACTGAGCGACTGGGGAGCAGGAGGGCTTGAATAACTTGGGTAGTAGCCAAACAGGTCATGACCCTTTGTATAGTTCACACAGTAAAGACGGTAATTCTCCAAAAGCACCAACAGACCACATTTAGCTAACAAGACTTTTCAATCACATTCTGGAAGAACGTGCAATCTGACTTCGTAGTTTAGAAAACAGCTGAACTTGGGTTTTGCGGCTACTAAAAATCTTGGTAAAAAAATCTTCCCAGTCCTATTTCATCCCTAGAGACATCTTTGGACAACTACGGAGAGTTTCTGCCACACTAAAGCTTCACAGGACTTTTTAAAAAGCCCCCCCTTTTCCTGTTTTATCTTAATTGTAGGTCCCAAGAAACATAGCTTGTGAAGATCTTTCTTCAAGAGGCAAGTGACAAATCTTCTGAATAGCAACGGCTGCAGGGCTAAGTCTGTGCTGTAGAAGTCCTCACACCCCCACAGAAGGTTACAACAGCATTACACACATCCTTCAGCTCCATCATTCACGCAGAATCCCAGGTAAGGAACGCTCACAAAGCATAGCGGTACGCTGGCTGGTGGAAAGAGTATCCCAAACCAGCACATTCACTGGAAAGAATTATTCTCTAAGGAGCATCGTTTAGCTATTGACCAAACAAATTTTGCATCACACCCAACAAAACAAAAAACAAACAAAAAAACCCAAAACACACAAAATAAAAATAAATAAATAAAACGATCAAGAGTGGTTCTGAATTATTGCTGTATGCCATTCAGATTGAGGGATCCTTCTGAACACAAAAAAGCTGCACTCCAGCAGACAAAGCTGTAATAGTCTACAAAAAAAAGGTATTATATACCTATATCTATCTATCTATCTATCTCCACATATATTGAGGCAGACAGATTTTGAGGGGGTTCAGGGAAGAAGACATGTTAAGTTAGTAGAAATGTAGGTCCTAATGAGCCTTATCCAGAGACTGTCCAAAGTGAGAGAATATATCAGGTCACAGGAGATGGGTACAGTCACGCAGCCAGGCAGCTCCCATTGCAACTGCATTCCGTCCTGCTCCATAATACGTTATAGAGCAGGTGAGGAGTTGAATGAGCTGTGCTAAAGTCTGACACCAAAAGGATAGGGACCCTGTTTGAAAGCTGTTTCCTAGTTAGGTGATACAACTGAGTCCCAGAAACTTTAAGGTAGAGAGTTTCTTCAGCCCCAGAAAGGTACAAGTTGTAAGGGAGACTGCTGAAAATGACAGAATCACAGAATAGTCAATGGTAGAAGGAATCTCTGGAAATAGTCTAGTTCAAACCCCTGCTCTAGAGCAGCTTACCCAGGACCTCTGCAGAAAAGGACCTGAGGGTCCTGGTGGACACCAAGTTGAACATGAGCGAGCAAAGTGCCCTGGCAGCAAATAGGGCTAATGGTAGTGTAGGCTGCATTAGGAGGACTGTTGCCAGCAGGT